TTCCATTCATTCCATGCATTCCATGCATTCCATCCATTCCATGCATTCCATGCATTTCATTGATTTCATTCATTCCATGCATTCCATGCATTCCATCCATTCCATGCATTCCATGCATTTCATTGATTTCATTCATTCCATTCATTCCATTCATTCCATGCATTCCATGCATTCCATGCATTTCATTGATTTCATGCATTTCATGCATTTCATGCATTTCATTGATTTCATTGATTTCATTAATTTCATGCATTTCATGCATTTCATGCATTTCATGCATTTCATGCATTTCATGCATTTCATGCATTTCATGCATTTCATGCATTCATGCATTCATCCATGCATCCATGCATCCATCCATCCATCCATTCATTCAATTCAATTCAATTCAATTCAATTCAATTCAATTCAATTCAATTCAATTCAATTCAATTCAATTCATTCATTCATTCATTCCATTCATTTATTTTATTAATTCATTCATTCATTCAATCAATTCATTCATTCATCCATTCATTCATTCATTCAATCAATTCATTCCATTCATTCATTTCATTCATTCATTCCATTCCATTCATTCATTCCATTCATTCATTCCATTCATTCATTCATTCATTCATTCATTCATGCATGCATGCATTGCATGATTCATTCATTCATTCATTCATTCAATTCATTAATTCATTCATTCATTCATTCCATTAATTCATTTCATTCATTCATTCCATTCATTCATTTCATTTATTCATTTCATTCATTCATTTCATTCATTCATTCCATTCATTCATTTCATTTATTCATTTCATTCATTCATTTCATTCATTCATTTCATTCATTCATTTCATTCATTCATTTCATTCATTCATTTCATTCATTCATTTCATTCATTTATTTCAGTAATTCGTTTCATTCAAGCATTTCATTCATTCATTTCATTCATTCAATCATTCATTCATTCATTCATTCATTCAATCATTCATGCATGCATGCATGCATGCATGCATACATGCTTACATGCATACATGCATACATGCATTCATGCATTCATGCATTCATTCCTTCATTCATTCATTCATTCATTCAGTCAGTCAGTCATTCAGTCATTCAGTCATTCAGTCATTCAGTCATTCCGTCATTCCGTCATTCCGTCATTCAGACATTCCGTCATTCAGTCATTCAGGCATTCAGGCATTCAGTCATTCAGTAATTCAGTCATTCGTTCACTAATTCGTTCATTCGTTTGTTCATTCATTCGTGCATTCATTCGTTCATTCATTCATTCGTTCATTCACTCATTCACTCATTCACTCAGTCATTCATTCATTCATTCATTTATTTCATTTATTTCATTTATTTCATTTATTCATCCATCCATCCATCCATCCATCCATCCATCCATTCATTCATTCATTCATTCATTCAGTATTTGTTTCAGTGCGTTTCGTTTCATTTTCATTTCATTTTATTTCATTTCATTTTCCATTTCATTTCAATTTCAGGTCTTTTTTATTTCCTTTCATTTTTATTTCATTTCATTTTTATTCATTTTTATTTCATTTCATTTTTTTCCCCACCTGCCAGGTGAGGGTTGTTAGATTTTATCAGAGCGCATGCCCGCCTGCCGCCTCTTCCTCCTCCTCCTCCTCGTCTAGCTGTCCTCCTCGCCCTCCTCCTCGCCCTCCTCCTCGCCTCCGCCTCTTCCACTTCCACTTCCGCCTTGCCAACCTTGCCAACTCGTCGCCAAGCTCTTCGCCAACTCCTCAGCTCAGTGCGCGCTGCTGGACCTCAACCTGCGAGCTGCCCAGCTCAGTGTGCACCGCTGGACCTCAACCGGGGACCTGCCCAGCTCAGTGTGCACCGCTGGACCTCAACCGGGGACCTGCCCAGCTCAGTGTGCACCGCTGGACCTCAACCGGGGACCTGCCCAGCTCAGTGTGCACCGCTGGACCTCAACCTGGGACCTGCCCAGCTCAGTGTGCACCGCTGGACCTCAACCTGGGACCTGCCCAGCTCAGTGTGCACCGCGGGACCTCAACGGTCAGATAGCATGCCAGAAGATATGCCAGTAGAATGTCAGATAGAATGCTAGAAGATATGCCAGATAAAATGCCATGAGATATGCCAGATAGAATTCCAGAAGATATGCCAGATAGAATGCCAGATAGAATGCCAGAAGATATACCAGATAGAATGTCAGAGGATATGCCAGATAGAATGCCAGAAGGTATGCCAGATAGAATGTCACATAGAATGCCACAAGATATGTCAGATAGAATCGCAGAAGATTTGCCAGATAATATGCCAGAAAATATGCCAGATAGAATGCCAGATAAAATGCCAGAAAATATGCCAGAAGACATGCCAGAAGATATGCCAGAACATATCCAGAAAATGTCAGAATATATGCCAGAAAGATATGCCAAATAGAACGCCAGAAGATATGTCAGACAGAATGCCAGAAGATTTGCCAGATAGAATGCCAGAAGATATGCCAGAACATATGCCGGAAGATATGCCAGATAGAATGCCAGATAGAATGCCAGAAGATATGTCAGATAGAATGCCTGGAGATTTGCCAGTAAGAAAATGTATAAATGTCATGGTGGGGATCGCACGAAGTAAAGTAATTTAATGTCATTTCATTTCATTTCATTTCTTTTCTTTTCATTTTCATTTTCATTTGATTTGATTTCGTTTTCATTTCATTTTATTTCATTTCATTTCATTTGATTTCATTTCATTCATTTCTTAGTCACTCATTCGTTCATTCAATCACTCAATTCAGTTCAATTCAACTTAACTCAATTCAATTCAATTCGGTCCAGTTCAATTCAATTCAATTCAGTTCAATTCATTTTCTTCAATTCACTCATTTCAACTCACTTCCTTCCAGCTCACCGACAATTCCTATAAACAAATTTGTTCCTATAGTCACGTCCTATTTTTGAAACTTCGGCCCCGGCGCGTGCCGGGCACTACGTGGTATATATTCATTGTCTGTTGCCAGTATATTGCATGATCTGAAATAGTGTTTTTGTTGTCCATTCACGAACTTTTTCCATTGGAAATGCAACTTAAATTGATTGAAACCACGCACAACAAAAAAACAACAGAAAAAACATTGTTCTTTCCGAGATTGTGTAATCCTCAGGATTAATCTAGATTATATAATCCAAACCAAATCTGATTCATCGTGCTTCATAGGTAGCATATGTTTATCAAATTTATCCTTTACAACCCATTACTTAAAAAATGTTTGTATGATAAACATGCGCGGTATTCTCTGGCGATGTGCAATTTTGACGGGTGAAACCTTTGTGGATGTGCAATTTTTTTTTGGTGAGTGAAACATTTCCTTCCATTCAATGGCGCTCTTTTTCAGACAGAAAACATTTTTTTGAAACAGTATCGCATCATTTTCAAAAAACATGTATTACTGTCAAAAAAGGGCAACTGAAACATTTTTTTGTGAGTGATTTTTCCTTCAAATGAAATGCGATGCATTTCCGATGGAAAACGCAAGGACTTTTAAGCACGGGTTCTCTACTATATGCATTGTATTTTAAGTACAATATTGCTGTGTCGTTTTTTTAAAAATAGACATATTATTTCCTCAAACAGATGCATGTTCCGTTATCGAATCATCATCAGGCTTCAGTCATTTGTTTCAACCACAAAAAAATATTGTTGCAGAATATGAAACGCAACTTGTTGCAGAATAACATGTCCCTGCTGAAGAGGTAGCATTCCCGTCAAATTCAGTTTTTATCATTGTTTGAAGGTAACACCATTTGTGTATATAAAGGAATGTAATGTCACATTCCCTGCCCAAAAAAAAAATCCAGCTCCATATTTGGCAAGTAGCACCATTTCTTTGAAAACATCAATTTCTTCGCTGGAAAGGTAGCACCGGTGCCAGACTCAATAGATGGGATAGATTACAGTCTCCTCTTTGGGCAATTGTTGTGCTGCGCCACTCAAATTAAAAAAAGTGTTCATGTGGCAGTATATGCTCTTCCGCAGTCGGTTGGAATATAATTTCAACTGGGAATGGTTGCACCATGGCAGGGCATTTGTGTGATACCACCTGGCAGCAAACAAAACATTTGCATCAGGTTGTGTGGTGGACTTTTGCTTGAATATACTGAGGGCGCTTCCAGGTTTCAAATCAAATATTTTTAATTGTCATGGTGATACCAAGTACAAGGAAGGAAAACTATTGTTTATGAGAGCCACATGACCTGAACCTACTGCCGGCGTCCCACCCACATTTTATCCATTACGATGTTCAATTTCGGCATTTTATGGTTAGGAAGGAAGAGGGCGAGACCTGAAATAGTCGTGCATTCTGCGTGGCAGGCGTGGCACTTGGCGACATCGACCGTCACTTTGCGTGGCAGGCGTATGGCACTGGGCTGGCTCTGATGGCGCGCTGGCCCCGTTTAGCGCCGTGGTCGCCGCGGTTGTTTGCGTGGCAAGCATGGCGCTTGGCGACATCCACAATTGTTAGTGACGGCTTGGAAGCGGTGGGGATACTTTCATCATCCGTAAAGTGTATCATCATACTTGATATTTATTTCACACATCAATGTATATATACAGAAACATCAATGGTTGGGCAGTTGCGATTGAAGGCATGCCAAGAAACTCACCTGCGTTCATCTGCGACAATGTTTGATTCGGACACCACGTTGGTACAACGTGCAACCACGACATCTGTCACCACCAGGCGGTGCAAACCATGGTAGGCAGAGTGCTGCCATGAATCTATGCGGCATGATCAGTGAACGACCTGCGCAAACGCCATGATTGAGCAGCATTTTCGGTTCGCATGCAGAATATTGAGCAGGGTTGCTATCATGTAAAACTGTAAAACGTTAAACATATGTGTCTCTCAAAGAATACATCCTTAAAAATATGCATTGGAATCATTCTTTTCCACTAAACATCCGACACGTTTTCCAATATTTCCGCTTCTATTTGATTAAAAAAAATCTGTCATGGACGATGGCGCACGGTGTGGAAGATGTCGACGCCTTTTCTTTTTCCTGGGCATTGGCCTCTGGGCAGTGTCAACGTCCCGTGGAACAATTAACTACGGACGAACCAACATGTTTTCAAAGTTTGCACGCTGCTTTGAAAGAGGGATGGGTTAGACTTAATCACGTAATACGATCGACAAAAATGATGGGCTCATTGGTGGCCAATGATTTCAATTTCCGTGTCACTGGGAACCTACAGCGTCGTTGGATTCACTGAGGTGCTTGCCAGCTTTCGTGACACCACGCGGGCAGTGGGCATGTGTCACGGCTTGACCGTATTCATCATGTGGCGGTGCGAAGCTGTGCAAGTCGTACTTCCCAACAATACGGTGGCAGGATGCTTTTGTGGCCAAAAGGAGAATATGTCTAGAGATATTTCATCATCCGAGAGAGAAGGGATGCAGTTTCAGTTACCCTTAAAAATGTCATTGAAATTCCATGCGGTCCATCTAATTTTTTAACGTATATTGCAAGATGCCCACCAGCGGTGCTTGTTTGGTTCCAACGTCTTTAGTAGTGATGCGCCGTTTGTTGTTGGCTCTGAAAACCGGCATGGGACCTCGAACCCTGGAACCCTGGAACTGCGATTAGGTAGCTGTGTTGTGCTAGTTTCTGATAGCCGTGGATGTGCGTTAATTTTCCCTGCATTCGCAGATTGTTTCCTGGTACCAGGCCGCTCCCGTGTTTTCAGCATTGATACCACCATTGTTTCCCATGTCGACCCTTCCAGTTGTTTACAATAACACTGTAATTTGCCAGATTTTTTTTTGGGTAAACACGATCGTTTATTTTGGAATTTCCCTGCCGGTTCAAACATGTTCAAACCAATTTTCAAGCACCAATCGAGGCCCTGCCAGACGCGTCTCCCAACGCTTGGCACTGCTGCCGCAGAGCAGCGAGTGGCTTCCGGTGGTGAACAGTCCCACAGTGGAGACCACCGATGAAAACATCACCGTGCTTCCGGTGTTTCCCTTGAGTTCCGTGTGGCTTGATTAATAAATCGATTGCGTGCAGTTGAAATATAAACAACACTTGGGAAATTGAGGTTACAATGTTACACACCAACTTAGCTATTGAGGGGGGCCCACTATGTACATATAGGGATCAAACCCTAAATCCCTGCGATTTGGAGTGGGAACATCCATTTTGATAGCATATTTGATCGCCACCAGGGCACGAGGGTTTTAATGCAGATATCTGATTTGTGGGCACGATCAAAAGATGAGTGCAACGGATTTCGGGGGCGTTTTTGCACAAAAGCCGCACAGCACAAAATCTGTGCAAGGTCAAGGTTTCCGCACAAGGGAACACCGACCTGGCCGTTCCGAAGTGAAGTTATTTCCAACAACTGCCATGGGTACGGGCCCATTTTGTAGCATAAGAATGCCCGTAGCTCGGAGCTCTCGCTGGCTTAAAGAGTGCCTCTCCGGGAGTGAAATCTCAAAACAAAGGAAAATCACAATTTCGAACGTGCTGTCTCCGAGCTGAGCTTCAAAGGAACCTTACCCAGGTTTTTTTTCCTGAAATGAGAAGGGAACTCAACATGGAGCGCCACACATGGAATGCCCCCCCTCCAAAAGTGAAACTAACCATGTCAAAAATCGGAACCCCAAAAATTAAGAAAACTCAATATACGCAGGGGTTGATTCATCTTGCGCAGCCCACATAGAATGCCGCAAAGGGTAGGAAGGCACACAAAGACACACACACGCACACATATATATTCTTTGTGTGTGTGTGTGTGTGCGCCCTTTTAACACAAGGCATGGTTGATTGCACATTTTCATACAGCAATGCAGGGGATGTATGTTTAGATAGGTGGATGGATGGATGGATGGATGGATGGATGGATGGATGGATGGATTGATCTCTCCGCGTATTTCGTTCTGCCCCTGTTCCATTTCTACAGTCAAGAGGAAGAGAGAACTCCAGAAATGACTTCTGCAAGCCGTTCAGTTCCTCCAGTCATAATGGAAGAAGAAACAAGCGAAGAAGAAAGGCCTGAAACACCGTTCTCTGACGAATACGCGACTATTTCGCAAAAAGCAGCAGATAGGCTGCGAAAAAACATAATTTTGCTCGCAGATGAACATTCGAACAGAGAAGAAGGCGAGCAAAAAGACATCAAAAGTAGCTTGTGGAAACCTTTCCGCACTGATGGAGTGGCAAAACACACTCAGATGCAGAAAGGGGCTGTTCTGAGAGCTGTCGCGAGAGACCAGATCTTGCTTGAAGTTTGCGGCAGGCCCACATCATTCCTGACTACTGCATCTTCATACGCCAAGTCTGAGGATATCACACAAGCAAAGATATTCGACGACCAAATCAGAGGAACACTGCCTGAAGACACATTTTCGAAAGCAGGCACATGATATGACTATGTCGCCAAGCGAGGTCAGCTCGAGCGGGCGTTCGTCGATCAGAGATCAGCTCTACCCTGGCATAAGCTTTGCAGAAGGAAGTTTTATTCCTCAAACGAAATTTCAATTTGTGGAGGTTCGCACAAAGCTGAGTCAGCGGCTTCACATCCATCCCATGGTTGTTTTCATTGACCACCGAGGTGAGGAGCATCTCATTCAGAAAACTCCTTTGCTCTCAGAGATTGCAGTGTAATTATGTAGCTGAAAATGTGACTTCTCTTGGCGGATTTGCGCACATCTTTCTTCGGGTCATCAAGATCAGACCTCAATTGCAGCAGAAAGGAGCACCAGTAGGTCAGGTTGAGACTAGCTACCAGTTGGTTATCAACACAAGCTGTGAGTTCAACGTTTCTCTTGTCTATGCCGAGTCTTTCTATTCGATTTTTCTCGGATTAGATTGCTACTGGCTTGCAGGGTGGTTGATGAACAGGAAAGAAGCAGGCGATGTTCTCTACCCTCTGAGATATCAAAATGAAGCACTGGATGGGCACAGCACATATTGTGTCGTTGGGGGTTACATCATGGGACACTATGAAACTCCGAAGAAAAACGCAACTCTCAAGCCTCATCGCGGTATTGTCAAAGGCAAGAGCCCTGTAGTGCTATCATCTCCTGACATCGCAACAGGACTCACGAAACTGTGCAGTCTCAAAGCTCCGCCTGAAGGTTTTCCCTATGGTTTTCTCTTCTGCAATGCCTCAGCACAATTCACTGCATATGTCGCAAAGTATTGCGCATTTGTCAGATCAGCATTTCGAGATGCTACATGCGACGCATGTGTGCAATACTGGTGTGAAGGCAGATGGTCAGGACTTATTTCGGCTGGTCCCCATCTATGCATCAAGCAATGCAATTTTTTGTCCAGTCGTACTTTGGGCTTCTCGTTTGAGATTGTGAAGCGAGGGAAACACGAGATAGTCCTAGCAACAGATCAAACACTTCCTGGCATCACAATTCTCAATCTCACAACAAGCCACTCGAGAAGTGCTCAAAAGATCTTGAATGCTTGCAACTGGCTGAAAGCAGATTTCATAAAAATTGACTCGAGGTTTCTCGAAGTGCCTTTGATTGAACGTCTCGAGCAGAGCTTGAATCTGAAAATCAAGAACCAAGAAAAACTGAGGCAGAAAGAAAAACAAGAAAAAACAGAAGAGAGAAAACTGATGGAAACCATAGCAAAAGAGAGGCGACAGAGTTCCATGGCTCCTGCCGCACAAGCAAAAGAAACACAGAGAAAGAAGGCAGACAAAGGTACAGACGTGAATGCGATCATGTTTGGTTGAATTTGTTTTCGATTTCATTTTGTTTCTCAATCTGCACTTTTTTTTTGTGTCTATTGTTATTCTATTCATCATTCTTCTATGCTGCATTTTTGCAGAATGAACTTTTGGCTGGGCAACTTTTTTCCTTGATAAAGAGAAGTCAGGAAGAAGAGAACAGTCGGAGAGAACATGATAATTTAAATTTTTCTCCTTTCAAAGTTTAAAAAATTGAGAGAATATTTTGAGGCCATGGCAAACCGTGCCATAATAAAGGGCACTCGAAACACAAAATGTTAAATGATATCAAAACATTATGTCAGCAAGTCTTGAACAGCATCTACCGTGTCTGCCACTGCTGGGTGACTCTTGTCATGCGCACCGCATTTTGTAGTAACACACACGTGCACAAACTGTAGAAAATGCTTTGATTGCATCTCGTAAAAGGTAGCATCAACAGCGACTTGCAATAGCGTGCCAGTGGAGCCTGCAACCACTCAAAAAACAGAGCGCCATTGGCACATCTGGAGGCTGGCCAGTATAAACACAGCCGTGTTTAAACGGATCCAACGCAGACCGGCCTGTACTACTCAATTTCTCCATTGGTTCCTGGGGAGCCGGCACCCCACCCTGTACAAAAAAAAAACGCAAAAAAAAACAAGGATCCGAAAAAAGAAACCAAGTGGGAACGGGAAACCCACTAAAAGATCGAAACCCGGCTGTGGACTTTCCTGCCTGCCTTGGACTTCCTTTCGCTTGCTGTGGTTTGAGTTTCTTTGGCTTGTCTCTTCCATGGCGGGGCAACCCCCGACAATGGAAGCCACGACGGCATTGAAGACATCACACCGAGGGTCCCCACCAGCATGGCCGACACTTTCCGAGAAACAGCTAGCATAGCCAGAGCCAGTCCAGCTCCGACAACACCACCTCACTTGCGGCAGGCCTGCCAACAAGCACCACCAGCCACAGCAGACGAAGAAGCATGCCCAATATGTCTCACTGCCATCTCGTACAATGGCATAGGCCCAACCTCTCGGTTCAGGTGGCCTCATTGCAACCACTGTTTTTCACACAGGCTGTGCAGCCCACATGGTCGTCGAGCAACCCAGGCCTCCCTGCCCAACTTGTCGCCAACCATGGACCAACACTTCCGCCTTGCTCTTCTCAGCCCAATGTCGGCACCATGGGGTGGAACTCCCGCCTCGGATCCAACGAGTGGATACTCACAATGCAGCTTTGCAACCGCCAGTAGCACCCACACACATTTCGCCACACTGTTGTCCACGGCTCTTTCTGGCGGACCCCCTGCACCCTGAGGAACCAACAGCCTGGCAAGAACTCAACGACAACCACATGGCATGGGCCCCGGTCCACATCCAGCAGTCCGACCGGTGGGAACCAGAATGGGTGTGCCTACGGTGCAACACCGTCCTCCGACTTGATCACCCATTGCTACAAAACACCCCCGAGCAGCCGCATTGCACACAACATGGCCCGCGCACTTTGCGCGTGGATATGCGACACAACACCAGGGGGTGGATTTGCAACCACTTCCAAGCCGGATGCCCAGCGCAGCCAATACACACCCAGCCAGCCAGGGCCCACATGGCACCGCAACAGCTGCGTGACCCACACAGCCGGCCCTGGACCCAACGAGGCCCACCAGACGAGCATTCTTGCAGCCATCCGACTTTCAGTTGGTTCTATGTCCCGCTCTTGCTGGCGGCCACCAACCGCCTCGAACCCCAAGCGGCTGAAGCATGGCACCAAACCCCAGCAGCAGGCAACCCGTGGCGAAGATTGGTGGAGCATCTACAGCAAGCACGCCCCGTCCCCTGGCAACAACTGCTACACGTGTTGACAACATTGCAGCAACTGGCTACACACACCGGGCAAACACTGGCAGAGAGCGAAGCGGCCCTGCCAAACAGGCTCCGCGAGGCTGGGGCTTGCCAACCCCCCGCACCCTAGTGCACCTACCATGGGCCGTGACCGTGTTCCAACAACCCAGCGGCTACATCCCAGCAACCGCTCAGGAAGCACTGTTGCACACATTCTTGGGGGAAAGATTGGCATCAACAGCTGCCACCTTGGCCCAACAATGGGGGGCACTTACAAGCCACGTTCCGACCACAACCTCAACAATGCCCGGCCCACCACCGCCCACAGCCCCCAACCAGGCTTCAGCAACACCCAGCCCCACCAGGCCAGTAGCAGATACCCGGCCATCGGCCCCGGCGGACCCAAGCCCAGCCGAGCAAGACTCTTCCAGTGCCAGTAGCTCGTCCGACAGCAGTTCCAGCGACACAGCTACCAATGACACCAGTGCCCCCCGACGCCGGCAGCCACGCCAGGAACAAACGGCACCAGCAGAACCCGACACTAGCACGACCCCAGCTAACCGACAGCAATTCCACAATTTTTTGGCTACCCTGGACGGCGTGGATCTGCAAACGGCTCTGAAGACCAAGTTCTCCGGCTTCCAGTCCCCACCACCCTTCCTCAAAGGCCGCGTCCGTCACGCTTTGGGCCTGGCTTTAGCAGCCATACAGCAAGCGGAAACACAGCAGCAAAGCGTTCGAGCGTGGAAACTTTGGCTCCTCCTTCCACGCATGTTGCTCCACCGTCCGACCGGCGTGCGCACACTTCCCAAACCTGAATGGCACGCCCGGATCACAGCCTTCCAAGCTGGGGAATGGCTGGCCCTGCTGCGAGCAGCACAAGACAGCACGACCAACAACAGCACACCAACAGAACAGGCCCCAACAGCCCAACAACAAGCCCGACGAGCCCGCCAGCTAGTCCACCAAGGTGAACTATCGGCAGCCCGACAA